TAATAATTGTCTCTGGGAGGCAGGTAAGTTTTACTTTTTCTTCACTGTTTTCTGTATTTAAAAAAGAAAGAAAAAAATCAAGATTTTTAGGGGCCGGCCCGGTGGCGCACTGGATAAGTGCGCCGCTTGGGAAGCGTGGCGGCGCTCCCGCCCGAGGGTTCGGATCCCACATACAGGCCGGTTCCCGCTCACTGGCTGAGCGAGGTGCGGGAGCAACACCGAGGTTTGCAATCCCGTTGCCGGTCCCCGGTCCGGTACGGGGGCAACACTGAGGGTTGCAATCCGTTGCCGGACACGGAAAAAAAAAAAAAAGACAAAAAAAAAAAAAAATCAAGATTTTTAAGAGGAAAAATAAAAAGGACTGGGTAACATGGAAAATAAAGTAAGATACAAAATAGGGGCAAATGAAACATTTCACTTTCTTTTCCTCCAAACATATCTGCTAGAAAGAGCATATAATGAAAGAATTGTCCTTCTAAAAATTCTAACAGCATCCCCCTTGAGAAATACAAATCTAGATTGTTTATTCTAGAATTTCAATTCATCCTAATTAGTACTATTATTTTTGATACTACTACCATGGTTCCCAAACTGTGCAACAAGGTACTATGGGGTCCTACAGTGAACTCATAGGGGCTCCTCAAGATGTTTTAAATTTAAGGAAACAGTGTCCCTCGACATTTGTCAGACACTAAACAAATTGCTAACTCAAGGTAGTTTAGTTTCAACATCAGATCCCACTACATTTTTTTCAATGACATCACATCTTTATGAAGCTAGTTCTTCAGAAACTGATATGATAAAAGCAATTATCTCCTTCTGAAAGTCTTAAGACAGAAAAAAAAAGCAATTATCATAAGAAAATCAATGTGGAACAAGAAATGGGGTGATGTTATCTAATCTACTCCAAGGTATGAGAAGCTATGCAGTTCCTAAGGGGGCACATATTACACTAGTAACTGTGTTTATTTAAAAATAAAATGCTTACTAAGTTACTAAGATATAAATACTTATAGGTTGTTTAATACTACTAAATACTTAATAAATGGAACTGTTGGTTATTTCTTTTCACCAAAGGATGCAATAAAAAAATTACTGAGATACTAAGCGGGGTCATAACCCAAGATAGCTTGAGACCTCTGTATTCTACTACAAATTACAGAACATTCGTATCAAAATAAAATATACTGATAGGAAAAAAAAAATGTACCTGCTGAGAATCCTGGTTCAGATGAAACTTTGATATAGCTTGTGAAACTACTGTAGTAAATGGATTCTTAGCTGTGATGAAGAAAATCAAATGATCTTATTCATTGTAAGTATAGTAGTGCTCTAATAAAACTTTACTTATTTCTAAAACTGAAAGGAACAAGGAATATAACTTAAATTTTAAGGTGAGACAAAATTTTCACTGTACTATTCTGTATAGGTTTGAACATTTTCATGATTAAAATTTTAAAATATTTAGAATGAAAGCCTTTTTGGTTACTTCCTAAGTCAACGGTAGAAATGTTTCCTTGTCTTTTTCTTTTTTTCCAAACTATTTGAAAAATAAATATTAAGCCAATAGCAAATAACCTAGGCTACAAATGCTAAAAATGATATATTGACCTATGGCTAGGATCAAGAAAGCCAAGATCACCATTATACTTGTGTGTCCAACCATAGCAAAGGAAAAAGCACTTAATGCCATTTCTGAATCTATCTTAAATCCATTTAACTATGGCTTGGAAAAAATTTATATTAATTTATTCATTCAACAATTAGTTTCTAAGCACAGTATGCCAGGCACTGGGGAAACAGCAGTGAACAAGACAAAATCCCTTGAAAAGGGAGGGACACAGAAGACAAATAATTAAACTAGAGAAATTCAGACTATGATACAAAAGGGTATCATATGGAAAGAAATGATAGAGTAATTTTAGATAGAGTGGTTAGGAAAGTTCTCTCTTAGAAAGTAACACTTAAGCTAGAACCTGAAGAAATAAACAACTATGCCAGGGGTAAACATGTTCAGATGAAAGGAGAACAAATACAAAGACTATGGGTAGAATAGTTAGCAAGTCTGCAGAATGAAAAGGAGGGTGGCTCATCATAACACATTTTTGGGTGTCCATTTCAAAATAGGACTTTTTTTTCTTAAAAGAATAAGTGCCTATTCAAAAAATTTGTTTCATCTAAAGTCAGAAGAGTATAATTGTAATGTTATTACTGTAAAAAATATCATAGCTATATTTGGTGTAATCTTCATTTTTAGGCAATTGCTATTTCTGGTTTCATTGTTGTTCTGTTAAAATTCAGAATAAGTTAAATGAAATAAAAATAAATGGATTTTGGAACTTGATGTTATTTCTAAAAAGAGTTTTAAAAAGGCACTGGAGGAAAATTTGTGTTTTTCCTTTACTGCCTTCATTCCAGAATAAAATTCTAAATGAACAATTCTAAGCTATATTCAATCATCTCACAAAATCTTGAACAAATTGGAGATATTTTTAATACCTTCATGAATTCTAAATTGGTGGTAGGGATGGCCAGTTAGTTCAGTTGGTTAGAGCTCAGTATTGATAACACTAAGGTCAAGGGTTTGGATGCCCATACAGACCAGCCACCCACAACCCCCCCCAAAATGGTGGTAAATTGATTCTTCTCTAATTTTGTATTAAACTCCATGAAATTATTTGCTATATTCCAATAGATTAAATTTTCTCAAATTGTGTCAGGAAAACCAACTTATAAATGTATCTTTTTTAGAGAAATACATTTACATCACAAAACAGTTGATCATTACTCATGGAGTCTGCCTACTCCTTGAAATTTATTTGTAACCCCAAAATCAATACTCACAGTGCTTTCATGGTCTTTCATAGACATGCACAGAGCAGCCAAAAATGAATTGTCTGAAATGCAGTTTCCCTACAAGGCAACACTCTACCTTCTCGTTTAAGCTTATACTGTAAACAAGTGTCTTTGTCGTGATCCATTTAGTGCTATATTTTTCATATTTCTGTGCTTTTTGTTGGTGATTTAGCTATTTAAAATGTCCCCTAGAATAAAGAAGGCTGTGATATCCCTTATGGAGAAAATATGTGTTCTACACAAGTTTTGTTCAAGCATGAGTTATAGTACTGTTGGCTGTGAGTTCAATGTTTATGAGTCAATAATGCACATTAAATAAGGTGTCTTTAAACAGAAACATACATAAAACAAGGTTATGTATTGATGAGTTGAAAATGTTCTGACCAGAGGCTTATAGGAAATCCTGTATTTCCACAAGGAGCAATGGTTCATTATTCACTAATTCAGTGTTTGTGGTGATTTCACAGAACACAACTACAGCAAATAATGAGAATCAACTGTAATCCTCTTTACCAACTTGATGAGAGTAGGTTTCCCAAAACTAAATTCTATAATTCCTAAATCTTCATATTAGAAATGTATATTCTAATATGTTATTATATAATTATATCTACCCATATTTTTCATTAAAGCTTTTTATTTATTTTTAATTTTTTAGAAAATAAACTATAACAATTATCATCAAACTTTACATTACAATGAATCATTTTAGTAGGTAAATAATTTATTCATATTTTTCTCAGGAATCACTTGAGACATTCAAATGAGTTCAATTTGAGAGTATCATAAAGTGCATTGTTCACTTACATTCATATGTATACACTATTTTCTATTACATTCTTAAAAAGACAATGCTGTTGGCAACATACTATAAGCAAAATCAAAAGACCAATGACATACTGAAAGAAAACATTTGGAACATTTATCATAAAGGGCTAATATCTCTAACATATAAAAAACTCTTATAAATCAAGGAGAATTAAAAAGACCAACACCAATTAAAAAACTGTACAAAAAAGGCAGAACAGATAGTTCATGAGAAATGATATAAAAATGAAACTTAAACATAGGAAAAAATGCTCAATTTCACCTATAATAGAAACACAAATTTAAAATACACTGAAATGGCATTTCTCATCCACAATTGGCAAAAATTCAAAAGCTTGGCAACACACTCTGTTGGCAAGGCTGTGGAGAAACAGCCACTCATATATTACTGGTGGGAGTAAGAAATGATATAATCCCTATGGAGAGAACTTTCACATATCTTATAAAACTACACATCTATTTAGCCATTTACCCACCAGTTGTACTTCTAGGAATTTGCCCTGAAGATACACCTACAACAATATGAAAAAAAAAATCCATTATTTATATGGAGATAATTATAGATATATAAAGTTTTCTATCATCACATTATCTGTAATAGTAAAAGACTGGAAACAACCTAAATGTCCATGCATAGGAGAATGGTTAAATGATGGTATATCCACACAGTGGAGTATTATATAGTACAATGAACAATAAAGTGAGGATGACTCCTATGAACTGATATGATTTCCAGGATACATTATTAAGTGAAAAAAAGCTAAGTGCTAAAGAATATATGAGTATGATATCCTTTGTTGAATAATAAGAAATAAGAATTTATATATGGAGCTATTTATTTTTACAAGAAGAAACAAGTACGATACATTGGTTACCTACGGGAGGTGGAGAGAAAAGGGATGGAAGGTATAAGAAAGAGTTCTAATGGTCAGTTTTTATATAGCTTTGAATTTTGAACTCAATTAACATTTTATATAGTCAGGAATAAAAATAAATAAACAAGGATGGACAAAAAGCCCTCATATAGAATATAAGCAAAGAACTTAACTATATATCAAATGATAACATATCATGCTAAAGAAAAAGTAACACAAGTAATTTTTGAAGTAGTACTACAACTCTATACTCTGAATAAAATACATTTTAAAAAGAAAAACTACAAAGGATTTGTGAACTTCACCAATTTGTAAAGGTTTTTTGCTAACAGTGATACCGCCATGACAACTTGGGAACTATTTGGTGTGAATTGTAGAACTGAAGAGTACACTGATGCTGTTGGGACCAGGCCTTCCATACTGTGGGAGTAAAGAAGCAAAATTATAGAACGGAAGAAAGAGAATACTGTAGTGTAAGATTGGAATTACAGGTACATGAATATGAATTCATGTTGGTTTTTTTTAAAAAAAGTATATCCTAGTACATGCCCAAAAATGAATAATGATGAGAATGGATTATAATACAGACACAGATACAAACACATATGTACATATATAAATATATAACATATATATCCACTAATACGTATAGATAAATGCTTATATATGCATAGAATATTTCTGGAAGGCTATCCTAGCAGATTGTGGCTAATTCCGAGTGGACTGAGGGACTACACACAGTAGGTAGGAGACATACTTTTCACTATACTATCCACTACTAGAACTGGTTTTACTAAGTACATGTATTACCTGTATTACCTATCTAAACACTACATAATTCTTTTGGGGTGGTGGGGGAGGGCAGCTGGCTGGTATAGGGATCTGAATCCTTGACCTTGGTGTTATCAGTACCGCACCATAATTAATTCTTTGAGCTATAAAGAGAACAATCTAAAACAGACATGCCATTCTGACCTTCAGGACTGCTATCCAGCTCATATGTCTGCCGAGTTCCTTGTTGTTTAAAGGCAGTATTTTCCTTTTTCAGTACTTCCAAGCTGTCTAAAGCTGTACTGTGCTCAGACAGTGACTTTAAAAGGGAAATGTTATTTATTAATCCAGAAAGTTCTGAAGAATTTCTAGGACTGTTCCAGTATTGTTTGCTTTTTCTGACAGTTTCGACTTCAACGTGGTCCTGGGATGAACCTCTAATCTTTACCAAATCTTCAGATTCAGGAATATCTGTTTCTATGTATTTGGAAATAGGATGCTTTATTCCCAGAGAGTAAAACAAAGAATTGGAAACTTGGGTATTTGGTTTATCAAGTGCAGTACATTCAGAGTGATTCTGACTGGTATTTAATAGTTGGATACTGTTGTCACTGCTAGAAGTTGATGGTAAAACCTGTTCATCTTTTTTGTCTAAGTCACTTCCCAAAATACAAGACTGAGGTTGAGCATCTTCTAAAAACAGGTTATTGTTTTCAGGAGTCTGATCAGTGGCTATGTTTGGAAAAGGAGGAATACATAAATTCGTATTTATATCTTTAGATTTATTAGGGAGTGAAGCAAAATCACAGTTAATTCTAACTTTTTGGATAGATTTATTAGCATCTTCTTTATTACCTACAAATACATCAGAAGTCCACTCTAAAGATGTGTCAAAATGGCTTAATATGTTACTATACTCCTCCTCTATTTCTTTTGCAGTGTTTCCATCTTCACAAGGTCCCATGTCAAAAGCTACACAAGTTTCATCACAAAACTGTGATGGTGGCAGAGTCTCTTGAGTAGGAAATGTCTCTGTAGGTTTGCCACCAATAGATGTTAAGAGTGGCAAATGTTCATTGCCAATTACTTGACAGCTTATATTCTCACATCTCTTTTGAACACATGCATTGCTGTTATTAACCAAAACTTCATTTACCCAACTCTCTGAATCCTGGTAAATTTTGTTGCTTTCCTGTGATTCCTCTTCCGTGTCACTGGTCTCAAAATTGTCCAGATCAAAATTTACCTCCAACAATGGTTGTGTTACTTTGCTTTGAGATTCATGAATACTATTAAGACTTTCAGCATCAGTATTATGTTTAGAAAACATGTCTGAAATGTCATCAGAGATCCTAGAATTGCTGGTTACAGAAGTTTCAATTTGTAGATGTTCTGATTCTGGCAGAGACGACTCAAGTTGTTTATGCTCCTTTTCTGGTGTTTCACATCTATTTACCTCCTCAGCATTTTCTCTAATGAGAATTGATCCTTTTAGGCACACCTTGTTATTTTGATTAAAGGGCTTTTTATTATTTTCTTGAATGTCAAATTCTGATAATAAACCATCATTCTCTGCACTGCTACAGGTAATCAGTAAGCTGTTGCTTTCACAGAATGAAGGCATTTCTAATTTTACTTCCTGATTACAGAATTGATCATTAAGATCTACTGGCTTGTCTTCATTATACTTTTTCCCCTTTTCAGCACATGTTTCAAAGAACTGTACCTTTTTTTGTACCAAAAGGTCTTTCAAATTCAAATTTATATCATCTTCCTGGGCCTTGGGTTTCCTTTCTATGTCATTTCCATCTGTAGCAGAAGAATGTATAGGTGATTTCTGTGAGAATAAATACATCGACCACCGGCTTTTATTTCTCATAGTATTTTCTGATTGATGATGGTAGTGTAAATTTTCTGTGCTCTTCACCTCAGCAGACTCTTCCTGTTGAATTAAGCACTTTGGTTTGGCGGGGATTTTTAAAATTTCTTGTGGTTGTATCTGAAGAAAATGTTCTGTAATCTCAGAATTTAGTTCCTTACATGTACTAGTTGATTTGGATTTCAGAAGAGCTAATATCTGTGCTTTGCTTCTGATGTTTTGTGAAACTCCTGAATAGCGAGATGCCAAACTATATCTTTTTATGGGCTCATTGGTCAGTAAAGAGTCTGAATGCCTACTTCCTGAACTGATAGGAGAGGTAAAATAATTTTCTTCACATAGCATATCCAGGTTAATCTTGGAGGATGGAGTAGAGACAACTGAAGGAAAAAGCATGCCATTTCTCTCTCTGTTCTTATAGGCAACAATGTTCTCAGGGTCCGTTGGCATATTATTTATATCTTTCTTGCCAGTGGTAGAAAATAAAGGAGATGTGCAGTAGAATGAAGAAAAAACAGTAGGGCCAGGTTTTTTATCCTCAAGTGATGCAGCTGATTCACCATTTTCTGTAATAACCATTTTCTTTGGGACCTGACGTGGTCCTTGAAAACCCTAAAAATATTAAGACAATTATTAGTTGTATCATTACCTATAAAGAAAATGTAAAATGAACTGACTAAAAAAAATAAAATAAGGAATGTGTATGCTTTGCCTAAGGTAAAGTAATAATTAAGATTTAAAGTTTCCTAAATTAAAATGTAAACATTCATTTGTAGTAAGATTTTTCTAAGTAGATTTACTTCCTTTCTATCTAAGTATACTATCAAGTACAATTTTAACAACTGAGTACAACAGCTTCAAAATTCACTACTTTTCACAACGATTTTATAAATACATGTTGATGTATTATTTTTCACAGAGAAACTTACAGAAAACTTCCTTTTTAAACCAGCGGGCTGACATCCAAGAGACTGGCCAGAGGATACATACTTCCTTGAATTTGACTCTGGTGCCTCTTTAATGACATCCTGTTTAATAGCTATACTTCCAGAAACTTTAACTTCCTCAACTGTGATTAAGTATCGATCACTTTCTAAGTCGTCTCCAGGTTTCACCTAAATTTTAAAAAATAAAAGTCAAAATCATATTCATCTAATTATTTAATTACCTGTGTGTTCCAGTAAGCTCACTAGCACCAACCAAGAAACAATGGATGTTCAGTAAATAGTTGTTGAATGAATCAGTTACTAAATTCTTCTATTTATTTATTGTTATACACTAGTTAACTATCAACAAACACAAAAAAGGATAATAATGTAAAAATACATATATATATAAAAAAATTTCATTAACTTCATCATTCAACAATATGTAATGGGAACCTATATGAGGCCTTTTGTTACATGCTAGATATACAAAGACAAGCAAAAAAAAAAATTGTTATGCTTGCTTAATCATATTCCAAAAAGCATTTTAAGGACTGGCCACTCACTGGCTGAGCGAGGTGCGGGAGCAACACCGAGGGTTGCGATCCCGTTGCCGGTCCCAGTCGGGTACGGGCGCGACACTGAGGGTTGCGATCCGTTGCCAGTCACGAAAAAAGACAAAAAGGAAAAAAAAAAAAAAAAGCATTTTAATCATTTTAATGAACAAATATAGAACTACCTCAAACTGCAGCATAAAAATAAGACTATCAACCTAGTTTGAAAATACACAAAATCTTTATCAGAATAATCTTTTACCAGTGAAACGATTTAAGATGAAATAATAACAATACCTACCAATAACTGGCATACAGTGCAATGCTTCTCCTAGACCTTCTTTTGATAAATATAAAAGTACCACATCCAGTACTAATGCCACATAAAATTTTAAAATGAATTAAATACCATAGCCAAAAATCAATGTAATAAGAATATTTTAACACATTTAGAATCACTGCACTAAACTACTAGGCACTTTACATAAATTATTTCCAATCTTCAGATCAACTCTATAAAGTCTGTCTGTGATCTACATCTCACAGGTGAGAAGTTAGCCAAAGAGAGGTTAGGTTAGCTAGGAAGTATTTCAAAGTAGGAAATGAACCCAGAATGACCAATTCTAATAACCTTATTCTTTACATTAAAATAAGCCTTTAGTTCCCTTCCCTTCCTTTTTCCAATAGGAGAAAAACACAGAATAAGTATTTGAGTAAATACTTAAATGGGAATAACTTCATAAAAATTTCCCACTGTAGATCTCTATCAAAAACTCTTGTACAGGAGTTCCCCATTATTCACGGTTACACTTTCCGCAGTTTCAGTTACCAACAGTCAACCATGCCCGAAAATATTAAATGGAAAATTCCAGAAATAAATAATTCTTAAGTTTTAAATTGCACACCATTCTGAGTTATGTGGTGAGATCTCTCACTGTCCCACCCCATCCCACCTAGGACATGAATCATCCCTCTGTTCAGCATCTTCATGCTGTACATGCTACCTATCCAATTAGTCACTTAGTACCCATCTCAGTTATCAGATCTACTGTGGCAGTATTGCAGTGCTTATGCTCAAGTAACCCTTATTTTACTTAATAATAGCCACAACGAACAAGAGTACTGTGCCTAATTTATACATTTTATCAGGCTGGCCAGGTATCTCAGTTAGTTAGAGTGCCACCTTGCAACACTAAGATCAAGGGTTCCAATTCCCATACTAGCCAGTCTCCAAAAATAAAATAAATACAAAATAAACTCTATCATAGGTATGTATGTATAGAAAAAACAGTATATATAGGGTTCAGTACCAACTGAAGTTTCAGGTATCCACTGGGGATCTTGGAACATATCCCCCAAGAATAAGGGGAGACTACTGTAATAGAATCAGTTTTTAGAGTAATTCTTGGGTTTAATTCCAGCCCTACCACTGTAACCCTGTGAACGTGGGCAAGTTACTTAATGTTTCTGCACCACACTCCTAATATGTAAAAATTACAGTGTTGCTGTTAAGATTAAATGAAACAATATCTAAAAGCTCTTAACACAAAGTCTAGTTATAATAAATGCTCAACAAATAGCAGGTACAATTATAAGTATTGGTACCATGACTATATTATTTAACAACATTTATAAAGAAAAAATCTAAAGGGATTTTTAAACAATAACTTAAAAATAGGAATAAATATATTAAAATACCTCAAGGCACTTAAGAAACAGACTCTCCAAACATGTTCCTTTATCATCATATAAAATTGCCTGTATTAAAACAAATGTTAAAAAAGAACAGAACATAATTATGCTTTTCTTAAACATCTTCAATAGCAAATCAAAAACTGTTATACAAGTAAATCATGTAATGAAAGGATTGTCTGCTTTGTTTAACTTGGATTTGAAAGTGCATCTATTTCAAATGTTTATATGCATCACTCAGTCTGTGCAAGAATGAAGGCATACACATAAAAAATTCAAGATCTGAATTCCTAACAGGAGGATCTTGGAATGGAATTGAGAAGAAAACAGAATTGGAATTCATTAGAGGAGGCAAACAGGAGAAGAGATCAGTTAAGAGATTATTGCAATGGTATGGTGTGGCGAATCAGGGAGATGATTAGTGCTTAAAATACGGTACTGGCATTGGGAATAAAACAATTATTTATGAGCTCTAATGAATAAAACTTGTGAATGTGACAGATAAAGGAGATAAAGGAAGCTAAGGTGATTATCATTTTCTGGCTTTCCCCTTGTAACTCTAGCAATTTCCCCACTAGCCCCAGTAATATTGGTATTTCCATCAATGTAGAAAACAGTTTGGCAGTTCCTTAAAAGATTAAAATAAAAGTTACCATATTCCACTCCTAGGTATATACACCAAGAGAAATAAAAATATATGAAGGGTCTTCAAAATGTTCATGGAAAGATGCTTACTATCTTTTAATTCCATTTTCTTGCATATTTTTTGAAGTGCCCTCATCTATCTACACAAAAACTCACACATGAATATTCATAGCAGTACTATTCAAAATAACCAAAAAGCAGAAACCCAAATGGACATCAACTAATAATTGGATAAATGAGACATGATATATCCATACAATGAAATATTATTCAGCAATAAAAAGGAATACATTATTGATACAATCTCCAACATGGATGAACCTTGAAAACATTATGCTAAATTAAAAAAAAAATAAAAAATCAACCACAAAGGATGACATAATATATAATTCCATTCATGTGAAATTTCCAGAATAGGCAAATCTATAGACAATAAGTAGATACGTGTTTGCTGGGGTTTGGATAGTGAGTAGTGACAGCTAATGGGTATGGGATTTCTTTCTGGGGTGACAATACACTATTCTTTTCATTCTATACTCCCTCCCTGAGCAGTATCATCCGTACAAATCAGATGTTATGCTTCTGCTCAAATCATTCCAATGTATCCACAGCTCCCTAAGAATAAAAGTCCTTCCAATAGGCAATAAGGCTTATATAATCCCCTATATCTCCATTCCCACCCTTGTTCAATCTATTCCAAGTACACTGATTTCCCTGCTACTTGCCACACTCACTAAACATAACTATTCACTTAACTTACTAGCCTGTCTCCATGTTATTTCCATGAAGTCAGAGATTTACCTGCTTCATTCCCTGTCCGGAGCCATTAGAGCCCGGCTGCCTGCCTGTCCAGAGCCAAAAGAGCCCGCCCAGCTATTGCCTCGAGGCCTCAGAGCCTTGTTTGCTGTTATCTTCCGTCCCTCCCCATCCTGTGCACTATGGGTGTAGGTAACTTTGCAACTTGCCATAGATAACGGGAATTTTCCATTTACCGGAACAACCCGCCCTGCGGTTTTCTCAGTAAACCATCTGCATACTTAATTATCTGCTGATTACCTCCTGCTGTCTATATAAACTGTGACCTTCTGGCTAATAAATGAGACTTGATCAGAATACTGTCTTGTCTCAATTTCTCGCGTCTCTTGTTCCATCCCATTCCCACTCCCCCCTCCAGGGTCTGCGTTGAATATCCCGCGGGTCGGGACAGTTCCCTGCTGCATCTCCTAGAACAGTGTGTAACTCCTAATAGGTGCTCAAAAAATAATTGTTAAACAAATGAGTCCACTCCAATAGCTTCAAATACCATCTAAATACCAGGAACTTCCAGTCTATACTGGTAGCCCAGAACTCTTCCCTGAATTCCAGGTCCCTATAGCCAGTTATGTGAGCATATGTAGGATACTTAACAAATTCAGTGTATTCAAAACAGAACTTAAAATCTTCATTGTTCCCCCTAAACTTACTTTTATTTTTGAAATATCCTATCTCAGTACCATAATCAAAATACAGAAACCTAAAAGTAACTCTGGATTCTCCTATCATCTTCTATCTCCAAGACCTGAAGATTCTATATTTTCATAATTTCTCTCTAATCATCCTTTTTCTCTATTGACATTGCTAATGCCTGCTTGATCAGACATTTTTGTCTAGATTATTCTATAGCCTCTTCACTACAACAGTCTTCCTAAATCCAATCTGACTTTCATCCTACATAACTTTTACATTGTTGCCAAACAATCTTTTAAAAATACACATATGATTATGTCATTCTTCTGCTCAATTCTTCACTGGATCCTAAGAATGAGCATACAAAAAGTCCTCCATGATATGGTTCTTGCCTACCTCTTTAGTTTTATATTCTGTCATTTCACAACATGGGCCCTTCATTCCAGCCAAACTTAATTGCTTATAGTTCCCTATATGTTTCATACTGTTTTATACATCCATGTTGTTATGACTATGACAATATCTTCAGCTCTCTTTTCCCCAACTTAGAGCACACACAGGGTCCTAGGCAGGAGCCTGCAAGGGTGGCTTGCTGTCACAGTAGCAGCCACAGCCAACATGCAGGCTTTCCACCACCCACTCACATTGACACAAGGAAAGTCACCAGCAGATAATGGAAAAAGAAGAAGTCTCTCTTCTCAAAGCCCACTCCAGAGTAAAAGAAGAAGCAACTGCTCTACCAGATGACTAGATATCAATATAGAGATATTAGAAATAAGAAAAACCAAGAAAATATGACACCACCAAAAGAATACCATAATTCTCAAATATCAGACCCTATAGAGCAAGAAACCCTTGAAATAACTGAAAAGGAATTCTGAGCAACAATCTTAAGGAAACTCAATAATATATAAGAAGACTCAGACAATATAATGAAATGAGAAAAAAAAATCCAGGATATGAAGGAAAAAATTTACAAAGAGATTACTGCCTTTAAAAAGAATGTAGCAGAATTCATGGAACTGCAAGATTCAGTCAATGAAATAAAAAACATAACCAAGAGCTTAAACAGCAGGCTAGAGCAAGCAGAAGAAAGAATTTCTGACCTCGAAGATAGTCTTTTCAAAATAACCCAGGGAAACAAAAAAAAAGGAAAAAAGAATTTTAAAAAAATGAAGAAAATCTAAGAAAGCTAGCAGACAACGTTAAGCACACAAACATATGTATCACAGGTGTTCCAGAAGAGGAGGAGAACAGAAAGGCATTGAAAACCTATTTAACAAAATAGTAACAAAAAACTTCCCAGGAATAGGGAGAAACATGGACCTTTGGATACTGGAGGCTCAAAGATCCCCAAACAGATTCAATCCAAAAAGTTCCTCTCCAAATCACATTCTATTCAAACTGGTAAAGCTCAAAGACAAAGAATTCTAAAAGCAGCAAGAGAAAAGTGTCAAGTCACTTATAAGGGAACCCCTATCAGAATAACAGCAGATTTCTCAACAGAAACTCTACAGGCCAAAAGAAAATGGGATGATATATTCAAAATACAGAAAGAAAAAAACTGCCAGCCAAGAACACTATAAGCAGCGAAGATATCATTCAGAAATGAGAGAGAAATAGTGTATTTTCCAGACAAACAAAAACTCCCGGAGTTCACCACATTGCACTTCAGTTAGTCTAGCCATTATCAAAAAGACAGAGAATAACAAATGCTGGTGAGGATGCAGAGAAAGGGGAACTCTCCTGCACTGTTGGTAGGATTGTAAATTAGTGCTGCTGTTATGGAAAACAGTATGGAGGATCCTCAAACAACTACAGATAGAACTGCCATACAATCCAGGAATCTTGCTGCTGGGTATTTACCAAAAGGAATGGAAATCATGTCAAAAGGATATATGCACTTCCATGTTTACTGCAGCTCTATTCACAACAGCTAAGAGTTGGAACCAACCTAAATGTCCATCGACGGACGGATGACTGGATAAGGAAAATATGGTATATATACATAATGGAATACTAATCTGCCATAAAAAGGAATGAAATTCTGTCATTCACAGCAAAATGGATAAACTTAGAGAAAATTATGTTAAGTAAAATAAGCCAGGCACAGAAAGAGAAATACCGTATGCATGTCTTCACTCATAAGTGGGAGTTGAAAAAATAAAAAATAAAACAAGAAAGAAAGACACAACAATCACAATAATTTGTTGAACTTTCAAAAGGAGACAATTGAACTGAGGCCACCAGAGATGGAGAAGAGGGAGGGGGAGAGAGGGTTAGGGAAAAATTGGTAAAGAGCCACAGAAAATGTTCACATTGTGTAATGATTAAAAAAAAAAAAAAAAGAATTATAAGTTACCATTCAATTGTGTGCTTATGATGTGGCAAGTGGTTTGTTAACAGTTTTACATTTTTTCACTTAATCCTTAAGACAACTTTATAAAGTATCATTTTCACCATTTTCAAAAGAAGAAAATAGAGGTACTGAGAGGCTAAATAACTTGTCCAAGATAACACATCTGACTGGAATTCAAACCAAAAATATCAATATTTTTGAATTAGGATCATAAATAGGCTTTAGTAATTAGACAATCTGATATTAGGTAATCTCATATTTAAAGTATTTGTGTTCTTTTTAATTTTAAGAAGTTATTTTTGATTTTATAAGGTACTTGTAATATTTTAGACAATTTATATTTTAAATATATCTAACAGATTAGCTTTATGATTCCAATTTAAAATGTGTAATTGAGAAATTCATTTGGATATCTGACTTTTAAATTGAAAAGAAAGGGGTAAGTAAATTTTACTAGGTTTATAAACAGTATTAGAATACTTAAAGGACATTAAAATTAACTGTATTCATAAATTTAATTTATTAGAATTACTGGAAGGGCTTAAGCACTTGCAAAGTTTTTGTTGGTTAGGGGCAACTAAAATGCTAAAGAAAGAAAATCAAATATAGAAAATTTATAAATTTGATTTAAATGCTTAAGGTAAATTGTTTGTTAAAAGACTGATTATTTTAAAGCATTTAGCTTTTTCTACTTGAGTGAACATTAAGCTAAGATTCCATTGAAAATAACTGTTAAACTTAACTAGGTTTATAAATTTAAAAGGATTACATAAAAGCTTAAGGCCAAACTTTTTCTTTAATTTGCTGTTTTAATAAATTAAATATTAAATTTTTTAAAATAATAAAAAATAGCCTTTTTCCTTCTGAAAAGCTTCCCTTAGTGAAAATTCACAGTGACAGATAGGTGGGATAAGGGCAGAATATGGACATCTTCAACTGCTAGACTGAGTTGTATGAACTGAGGAGTATGAACTTCATTCAGGATGCCACAGATGTCATTAATGTATCCTATATATTGCCAACTCATCTGTAATAAAGTTCTTTTTTTAAATTAGTAATATTAAGAGAGACAGTAAAATAGTTGGAGCCGAAAAGCGTAGTTCCATGTATTATAACTCCACTTTCAAGCTGTGAGATCCTTGGGCAAGCTATTTCACCTCTGTGTGCCTCAGTTTCATCATCAGTGAAATAAAGATAAATATAGTACTAACCAGTAGGAGAGTTATATAGTCTAAGAATATTGATACACTTAAAACATCATGCCTGGCTCGTAGAATGCACTTGATAATATAAATTTTTTAATCAAAACATGTAACATTTACTGAACTTTTATAATATACAAATTAATCACTGTGATATGGGAATCATTTGAAAACTTCTGTTTTCACAGAACATCAGTGTATGGACATACCTAACATTTTATCTTCTACAGAGTTTTCTTAATATTCAATCAAAAAGTGAGAACCTAGCTCTTAGACTGTGTAGTCAACTGCTTTGCACTTACTTTGTTTCCTAAGTGAGTGATCTTTAGAATTCCATCTTGCCATACTTTTGATTTCTTCATCTTTTGATGAGTGTATAGGACCTTATTTCCAAAAAGTACAAAAGCAAAGAAATGGTTTCTATTTATATATATTCGATGTTATGTATTTTACACCCTTCCTACATACAGAAAACATTTAAGACACTTTTTATAAAAATAAAAGCACAGATATCCTAATAACAACAAAACATTAACTTTAAAAAAAGAAAGAAAATTAGGTAGCAAAAGGGGAAGGGAGATAGGAGAGGTAAAATCTAAAGAAAAAACTGAAAAGTTAACTGAGTACCAGAAATAATTTTGAGCTTCCTAGTCACCAGTAGGAAGGGAAAAAATTGTTGATTTACTCATAATCCATGCAGTTCTCAAAGTGTGGCTCAGAGACTCCTGGAAGTCTCCAAGATCTTTAAACGTGTCTGTGAGATCATAACTATTTTCATGATGTTGTCTTTCCATTCTCATTCCTTCAGGGGTACAGAGTTTCCCAGGGTTACGTACATACAATACTGCAAGATTCAATTGTAAATTGAATGCAGAAGCAGATATGAAAATCCAGTTATCTTCTATTAAGTCAAATGTTAAAAAGATTTGCAAAAAAATGTATACCGATGCTACTCTTCTCAATATATTCTTTTCTGCTGTTGTTATTGTTTTGGAAAACTTAGCTATTTTTCATTAAAAATGTTATATACGTTAACATATATTAAATTTATTAATATTTTTAAATAATTCATAAATAAATATTATTAAATTTCTGTTTTAATTTCTACTATGAAAAATATCAATAGATATAAGCCCAATATATAAAAGCTCTTTGGGGTCCTCAATAATTTTTTGAGTGTAAAAAGGTCCTGAGACCAAACAGTCTGAAACCAAACCACTGATCTAGACAGAAAGGCATGTCAGGTTTTCAAGAGATAAAAATACTTTTCTAGTCCCAAGCTTCCAAAGAATTTGTTACAAAGAACTATGTATAACAAATATGAATAGCAGGTAAGCGACAGGGTTGCCAGACAAAATATAGTGCCATCTTTATGACATACTTATACTAAAAAAGTATTCATTGTTTATCTGAAATTCAAATTTAACTGGATGTCCTGTTTTTTGGCTTTTGTTCTGTTTTTGCTAAATCTGGCAACCCTAGCAAGATGTTTATGAAATGTCAGGAAGAAAGGAAGGAAATATGGGAGGGATGGAGGGAGGGTGGAGAAGGAAATTGTGAAAATTGGTAAGACTTACAATAAATTCTTGGCTTTCCATTGTTTCTTCTGAAGTTATAAACCAGAAAGGCCCAGAAAATAATCAGTAGTTATTCAACTATTTTATACCACCTAAAATAAAAAATGACACAGAATATTCAACACTGATGAAAAGAATAAATGTAATTTTTCCCAATAAACTCTTGACCAGAGACAGGAATCAAAGAGTTACAACAATATCTAACTTCCAAGGGAAACGGAGGTATAATCAAATTATGTCACTGAGGACATAGTAAAAGTTATACCATGCTGTAGAAAAAGAATTTGCCAAGTAAAGAGAAAACTAAGCAAAATATAAAAACTAATTAGTTGTCTACAAAAATATTTCTAGGTGCCATAATATGCATCAGAAAATTAGACTTTTCCCATGTAAATGTTAGGTTCTTTATATCCAGAATTCAATTTTTAGAAGTTCGCTGAATTCTATGGTCACCACAAGATGGCCCCCTTGTGTTTTAAATTTTTCCTTTTATTGTACATCTTAAAGTCAGTATACCACAGTTTCTAAAACTAAATATATATTATATAATACCTCTGCAAGGAAAAATCTTTTTTAATACTGTTACAATATGTACTGTAGTTACCCTAAATTGGATAAAATGGTTATTGTGAGCAAATCTGTTAATCCAAAATCAGTGAAATGAAGAAGTAAACAAATGCCAAGAAACACTTTTTTATTTTTTCCTAAAGTGGTTCCAAAGGTATGAACTTGTGGGCCAACAGCATCACCTAAGAACTAGATAGAAATGCAAATTCTCAGTCACCACCATTGACCTATTAAATCAGAAAGTCTGGAATTGGGGTCCAGTAGTGTGTGTTTTAACAAACTCTTCAAATGATAGTGACGCATGCTCAAGTTTGAGGACATGGCCTGAAAAGACCTAAAGGGATTCAATAGAGCTATAACTTGATATTCTGGGTTCAGTTCTTCCTTTATACATATAAAATGTCACCTGCATGTTATTTATAAATTGCATGTATTTATTTAGTACTTACTATGTTCCAGACATTGTGCTAGGCTGAGATAGTAAAATGAACAAAATATTATCCCTGATCTCAAGGAATGTTCAGTATAAGCAGGATGATAAGTGGTAATTACAATAAAATAGGATAACACCCAACTTGTTCTACGCTTCTACAAGGAGGTAATGTCTAAGCTGTAAGCTGAAATAACCATTAATCAAGAGAAGATGCTAGTGAAGGTTTTCCAAACAGGAATCGATATGTAGAAAGGCCTGATAGGGAACCTTAAAAAGCACAATTAAGGGGTGAAGTGCAAGAGAGTGAGTGGTGAGAGAAGAGACTGAAATAATTAGTAATTGAATTCAGAGAACCTTCTATGTTCTAAATACATGATTCCTAAATAGCGTATAAGTAATTCTAAATTAGTAAATACTGGATTTATAATCTGTAAATAGTGATAATACCGACTTTTCAGGATTATGAGACTGGTAAATATTATATGTAAAGTATCTAGTCCAATTCCTGCCTGACACATCGTAGGTAATCAATAAATAGTTATAGAATGTAGTATTTATATGAGCACCAGAGTTTAAACTACTTGGTTTTGAATTCTGAATATGCCATTTATTTACTTTATGACCTTGGGCAAGTTACTTAACCCCACTTTCCTCTACGGAGTTTGGACTTTCCATGAAGACAGTAGGAATCCATGGCAGGATTTTAAGAATAAAATGACAATCCGACTTTGGTTTTACAAAGATCACTCTGGCTGCTGAGTTGTAAAAGGCTGAGATAAAGGAGAGGCAGGCCCAGTACATAGGTCACAGGACAAGACCCAGACCTAAAGAGGCACTGCCTTTCAGAAATATAACTTCCACATCCTACATCCCTCCTGTCCAGCCCACAGGAATTGCTAGATACCTAAGAATGCCAAGATGATAGAGGTCCAGAGAAACATATCATCCCCGGTGCTTTTGGATCAACTTGCTCACAGTTACTGAATGGGCTGGATAGTCTGTGTATGTAGATGAGAATAAACGGTCATAGACACAGTGCTTGGCATGTGGCAGTTGTTAAAAGTATACCTCTTTAGGGCCGGCCCGGTGGCGCACTCGGTAGTGCGGTGCTTGGGAGCGCGGCGGCGCTCCCGCCCAGGGTTCAGATCCCATATAGAGACCAGTCCGCTCACTGGCTGAGCGTGGTGCGGGCACGACACACGACACCGAGGGTTGCGATCCCGTTGCCGGTCGCGGTACGGGCGCGACACTGAGGGTTGCGATCCCGTTACCGGTTGCGATCCCGTTACCGGTCACGAAAAAAGAAAAAAAAAAAAGTATACCTCTTTAATAATAATTATCACTTATTCACTGCAACTATATGCTAGACACTGTTAGAATGCTTTAAATGCTCACCACCTTGCAGTGTAGATACTATTTTTATATCCATTTCACAAACGAGGAAAGTGGGGTAAGTAACTTGCCCAAGGTCATAAAGTAAATAAATGGCAGATTCAGAATTCAAAACCGAGTAGTTTAAACTCTGGTGCTCATATAAATACTACGTTCTATAACTGTTTATTACCTACTACGTGTCAGGCAGGAATTGGACTAGATACTTTACATATAATATTTACCAGTCTCATAATCCTGAAAAGTCGGTATTATCACTATTTACAGATTATAAATCCAGTATTTACTAATTTAGAATTACTTATACGCTATTTAGGAATCGCAAAGTAAACTCCCCATTATTTTCCTAAATTAGAAATATTACTTCTGTGATTTCCAATTTAAAAGGAACTGATTAGGTTCAAACTCGCAAAAGTGGTAAATTAGATTATAGGATTAAGCCTCAGGGAAAAAAAAAGCTAACTGGATTTAAAAATACTTTTAAGAGCACTAATACTTACATTCAATGAGAATCAACAGTCCTTTTTTATCTTACCATTAGGCAGGAAAAATGGCTTTAGCCAATAGCATCATATATACGTGACACGCAAGAATAAAAAATTTCCTCAAAGTGTAAATCTGCCCACATGTCACACAATTCAAATGTTGACCCGCCTTTAATTAACAGAAAGATTAATCTGCAAAGAAGTTTTTAAAGTGTTGAGACCCCAGATGTTCTGTGGTTAAATATGTACATACATACTTATCATAGCACGTATATATCTCATATATATATATATATATATATGAGTATATAACTCGGTATTCTCAGTAAAATATGAGCCATTCTTCTTGTTAATTACGACATGCTTTTGGTCCTTTTGTTTTTGAACAAGCAAGCTTTTCCAACCCTAAACGTGAACCCCTAAATGGTTCAGATTTAAAAGTTTTAGAATCACGAACACAACATCCTGTTAAGAAACCACCAAGTCCAAATAACGAAAAGAAACCCACATTTCATTTGCCAAGATCCTAATAACCATGATCCTGTGTCACCAAATGACAATGGAGCCTTGATTCCTTGTCAGTCCTAAAAACAAACAGCAAAGTCCTCTCTGGTCCTAACACGTACGCGGGCAAAGCAGGCGCTGGGAAAAGCGCTGAGGACGAGGCACCAATTATTACAGGCGGTGGGAGCAAGCTGTGACTGACACCACCCCAGCCCCGGTTCCAGCCAACACCGGTCCGCTTCCTGCGGAGCAGATTCTTTCGTCCCTTCGCCCAAATCGCTCAAGTCCCCCTGCCTATCCATCCTTCATTCGCCGGAAACCCCGAGAAACACATCACCTGTCTCATTCCATAAACTCCACTTTCGAATTTCTCCCGCGCACGAGTGACGTCACTAGCCCGGGACCGCAGCAGACGAGGACCAGATACTTAGCTCGCCCACCACCGCCTCAGCCAGACCGCCGTTTTCAAACCGCCAATCAAATTTTTCATTACCTTCGAGCCTCCTCAGCGGGCCGCCTTCTCCGATGCCCCGCCTTCCCAGAGCCAACCCTTGCGGGTGACGTGAGCGACGGAGGCACCGCCTCCGGGCCTGTCTTTCTTGAGGGGGAGGAGAGAGTGGTGTCGCTCGTCTTATGACGCGAAAATAACTACGACGTTAAGGATCGAGAGACGAAAAGAGCTGAAGGACGCGGTCTCTGACCCCGTATTTTGGGAATTGAACAGAGTAAGTTACAGATGGCCTAATGGGTCGCTCGTTGGGTGAAGTGTAAATTCCTCTCAAGTCCTTTTTCATGCGTCCATTCTGTCATCCGTCGTGCCTCTCATCCCGCCCCCTCCCACGAACCCATCAGTTCGCTCGTCCTTGTTCTCTGTGCGCACGCGCAAAAGTCTTCCGGCGGGCCTGTAGTTCCAGTCTTGAAAGAGTGGGGGCGTGTAGTGCACGGCGTTGGGAGGTTTGCGGCACGCCCCGTATCTGGCGGAGGCCGTGCGGAAGTACGGGTGCCGAGAGGCGCTGTAGTTCCTAGGGAAAGTGTCTTATTTCGCATATCGAGGTTGAGCTTGGGCTGCCAAAGGAATGTGAGGACTTGTATTCCAAAATTAAGTCATTTTATTTTGCAGGATTCTAGTGCTTTTTTCCTCAAAGACTTGAAAATACAGTCATGGAAGGAAGCTGACAAATAATAAGTGCTAAATATGGTGTACTAAGTGCGTTAATTGAGGTACTTAGGGGAAACAGATGAGAAGGCAGTTAATTAATTAGTGGTGGAAGGCCATAAAGAGTAAGATACCATTTACCTGGGCCTTGGAAATTGAATAGGGGTTTATAAGGCAGCTTAGGCGAGAAAACTCATGAAGGCAAAGACACAGGTCATTAAGTGTTCAGGTATCATTGAATAGTCCTCTGTAACTAGAACAATGGTTTTTAACCTTTTTTTGGCATACCAGTTCCTTTGAAAACGTGTTAAAGTTATGGATGAGCTTCCCAGGAAAATGTGCATGTACCTGTCAAAACATTTTGAAAAACTCTGAAATGGCAAAAAATCCACACACAAAAAAATGGTGTCTAGTCTAGCTCACTTTTCCAGGTTATCTGTGCCTTTTCCTTGTCATTGAGCTATTTTACAACTGTGTAACTTGTAGAAAACGATAAAAATGGAACTTATGTTTATCCAGTGGAGATGCAATTAAGTATTGCCCTAACCAGTATCAATCAACATTCATTTCAAAGTTCCCAATTGTCTGTATGTGTCTGCTTTTTTGAATTCTCCTTTGAACTGGTTTTAACATTTGTTCTCTCATTAATTACCTAACTAAAATCTTTACCATGTATTCATTTTATATTTGTACAAGAGTCATGATTTTACCTTTCTTTAAAACTTGTCTTTTAACCATTTCATGGAGTTCACCAGAATCCCTGAAACCCATCCAAAGTTCCATGGTACTTCAGGTTAAGAATTCCTGGGTCAGAATGTAGAGTGCATGGTGACAAATTGCAGGAGGTTTTACAGAAGGTAGGCGATGTGGGAATCAAACATACCTAGGCTCACTGACCTACCTGGCTTTGGCCAAGTCACTTAACCATTGAGCCTCTGTAAAAGGAAGGTAGAAGAAACTATCCAATGGGATTGTGAGGATTAAACAAGGTATGTAAATTGACTCGCATTGTTGTACAGTAACTTTTATTCTTTGTTCAAAGATCATGCTTAGAAGCATGTTACTGGTTTATTTAATAATTTTTTTTAAATACATATTATGTTATAGGAATGTGCCAAGGAAGTTGTAATGTTGCACATTTTAATCTCAGCATCACAAAACCAGATCTGTGTTTTAGACAAGAGAGGGATGGATGGCTTCTAGAGCAGTTTGTAAATTGTTGCCTTCTAGTGACAGTACTCGTGGAATACACTGGGTGGAGATGAGGGCCATTTCAAAGGTCAAATTGATAGGACTTACTGACAGATGGGTGAAAAAATAGTAATGGTTACATATTATTGAGTGTTTCTATACAGCAGCAATTTGAAGTACTTTATTTAAATTATTTTGATTAGCCCTCGAACAACCTATTATTTAGGTATGATTTTTATGCACATTTTATAGACCATAGAGAGATGAGGTAACTTGCTTAAAAATCCATACAGCTAGTAAATGCTTGATTGGCTAACTTGGTGGAATATGGCATCCTTAAATAAGATGAGGATGGTAGAACAGGCCCGGGTAGGAAAGATAAGTTTGATTTTGGATGTATGGAATAACACTGAAGAAGTATGGACTTTGAGGATCAAGACTGTAGCAAAAGTATTGCTGTGTAACTTCCCAATTTTCTGCAGTCATTGTGTAGTGAAGCTAAATTGTATCATATATTATGTTACTTTCTGTTTAATCCATTTCTTCCTCTAAATCGAAGGTATATTTGATTATTCTGAATTTAAATACTTCAAGCCACAAAAATTATCCTTAATGGAAAGAATGAAGGAGGGTCTTGGGCTGAGATATGAAATGATGGGACAAGTCTGGTTTCTGGAAGAACCATGACTTTCTGTGCTTTTGTAGTTCTGTCCATTATTCTTAGATGGTGGGCTTTGACAAGGAAAGGAATTGGAGAGTGGCTAGTCTGCCCTTTATAATTTGTAGTTTTTTCAGGAGGGAAAGTTAGCAGTGAAGCCTGCTGTAGTGATAACGATAACTTAAATTTGTATTTTATTTATATCCTACCACCCTACAAAAAGATTTGAAACGCTTAGCACTTTTACAGTTACTTTTAAATATATTAATTTAATTTACAGATTCTAGTCAGCATTCAGACTCAAGAGAAACAAACTTTAATACTGTGTTTACTTAGCTTTAAAGAATGATACAAGGTAGAAGATACAGTTGGTGCAGCATCTTTATCTCATCAGGAGGCCCTGCACCAGCACTTACCCAAATTCAGCAATTACCAAATTTGTATTTTATTTATATCCTACCACCCTACAAAAAGATTTGAAACGCTTAGCACTTTTACAGTTACTTTTAAATATATTAATTTAATTTACAGATTCTAGTCAGCATTCAGACTCAAGAGAAACAAACTTTAATACTGTGTTTACTTAGCTTTAAAGAATGATACAAGGTAGAAGATACAGTTGGTGCAGCATCTTTATCTCATCAGGAGGCCCTGCACCAGCACTTACCCAAATTCAGCAATTACCAAAATTCCTGCTTTTTTTTTTTTTTTTTGGCCGCCTTACCTACAGTAGGTGTGTGTGGCTTCCCCGGATGAGAGCCAAGGTATCTTTCGGTCCGCATTAAAACATAAAAGCTTTAGCTTGCCTACCAATCTTTTATGTTATTCTGGTCACATGAGGCCCAAGGCCTACATGCCAACTAATAGCTACTCCAATCCAGGTGCAGCAGGGGAAACAGGTACAACTCTCCCCATTTGTCTTAATTCTGCTCTTTCTGAGAAAACCATATTATTATGGGAGACTTGAGGTTATTCTCAGGCAGGTCTGCATCATCCTAGGCCTGATGTTAATCCTTTGGTCCTACATTCATTTTTGTGTATGTACCTCTAGTGATTCAATTCATTGACAAATTTATTATTTTTTCCATTCAAAAATTTTAGACACAATTCACTTAAATTTTTGAGTGACTACTGTGTTTGGGACTGGGCAATCAGTAAACAAAACAGATAAAAATCTATAATTTCATCAGTCTTACATTCTAGGAAGGATGAAGAATAGATAAATTGTATAGTAATGTTAGAAGGTGATAAGTGCTATGGAGAAAAATAAGGCAGGGGAATATCTGTCCAGAAATTTGCATTTCTAAATATGGTTGTGGGAGGCTACCTTACTCAGGTGGCATTCAAAGACTTGAGGAAGTTGAGGGAGAAATCTGTATTTTCTCAGGGGATCAGTGTTTCAGAGAAAACAAGCTCAAAAGACCCTCAGCTGAGAGTTCGCTGGGTGAGTTTTAGAAACAGTAAGGCCGATGGCTGAAGCTGAGGGAGCACAGGGGAAGAGGCATGCAAAGTAACTTGAAAGAAGGAGGGGGTTAGGAATTGCTACCCAAGAAATAAACAGTAGAATAGGAAAAAGAAGTCTGATCCTGTAGCTTAGCAGTTGAATTCTGCTTCTAGAAATCAGAAATGAACATTTTAAAAATCAAAATCAAAAATCAGTTTATTTTTATTTCATCTATTGGTGGTTGTAGTACTTAGAAATGTGAATAAAATGTCCTTATTAGGCTTGTTGGTTGGAGAGTGACTGAGTCCCTTAATCTTACACTTTAATTTACTATCTTAAAACTGTAGCTTGGTGAGATAGATAAGGATGTAAATTTCATACTAAGATAATCTGATTCTGCAGTTTAAAAGGCACAAAAAACTAAAGCTATGATCGAGTACATAGGAAGTAAATTATTTTCTTTTTTTTTTCCTGCTGGTTGGTACACCTTGGTGTTATAAGGACTAACCAGACAGCCCTAAACTATTTTAAAAGTAAAAACAAGGCCAATGAAAAGTGAGCGGGTAAGAACTTAGAAAGGAAACAAAAAACAAACCCAATTAAATTTTTCTCAATTACTTGTTGAAAATGCCTGGGAAGCGTTCCCCTGAAAAATTTGTCTTCTGGCATCTAAGTGTTGGCCTCTTTATCCCCTCAGACAATTAAAGGCTAATCCAAATATTTTTATGTATTAAGTAGTACTTGCGGTGATTTAAATATTTTCCTAATTTACAGGAATGGAAACTGAAAGTGGAAACCAAGAAAAAGCAATGGAAGAGGAAAGCACTGAAAAGAAAAACGAAGTAGAAAAAAAGAAACGGTCTAGAGTTAAACAGGTGCTTGCTGATATTGCTAAACAAGTGGACTTCTGGTTTGGTGATGCAAATCTTCACAAGGATAGATTTCTTCGAGAGCAGATAGAAAAATCTAGAGATGGATGTAAGTTTGCTTCAATATTTAGATGTGTTGCCTTGAAGTGTACTTATCTACTCCTAAAATAGTATTGATATAATGTAGTATATATCCATTTTTGCAAATGTTCTTTTAAATTTGAATGATGAATAACCTTTAAAATAGTATTCAGAAGTTTTAGTTGCCCAGATAAAAACCATGATTAAGTTTCTTGTTCCTAGGGTTTAAGCCTGTTCTAAGTCAGCTTTCAAACCCTAAGCAGTAAAAATTCTCAAGACCTACTGATAAAGGTGCTTAAAATAACTTTAGGTCTTGGGATTGAATTGCTAAAATAACAATTTATCATGCGTATCTCAGAGATGAAAACTTTAGTTCAGACAGGAAGGCATTTCACCTAGTCCAAACCTCAAATTGACCATGTGCTCTCTATATAGAGAGCAAGTCACGTGCCCTAGGGATTCTTGTTGAATGTGTTCAAATTTTAAATCTTATTTATATTAAAATGTGAAATGAGTTGTTAGGCATGCCAAAAAGTACTGTGCACCACCTACTATTGTATAATTAGTGATATATAGGGTCTATAGGGGCATACTGAAGCTTAAGAATTGCCAAATTCAATGCAAATTTTGTTAATCCTGCTGGTTTAATTTTCCTGTGCTCTTATTATTCACTTTTGTGTTTTCAGATGTTGATATATCACTTCTAGTGTCTTTTAACAAAATGAAAAAATTGACTACTGATGGGAAGTTAATAGCCAGAGCATTGAAAAGTTCAACTGTTGTAGAGGTAAGAATCATTACAATTTTATTATATCCCATAATTACACTTAGTTTTATTAACTTAAGGTACTATTTTAAAGCTGGATTTAGAAGGCACCAGAATCAGGAGGAAAAAGCCTCTGGGTGAAAGACCAAAGGATGAGGATGAGCGGACAGTATATGTGGTAAGCCGTTTCTACAAAAGTTAGAGCCCAGATCCCCATTCAAAAAGTGACACAGAAACATTTTAATATTGAAGCTATAATTTATTGACATTCATAGTAAGGTGTAGGAATTGCTGAAAGTTTAGGGTATAGTTAGTAAAGCCTTATTTATTTAAATGCTGCTTTTAATTTATCACAGGAGTTACTTCCCAAAAATGTTAATCACAGCTGGATTGAAAGAGTGTTTGGGAAATGTGGCAATGTTGTTTATATAAGTATACCGCATTATAAGTCTACTGGAGATCCAAAGGGATTTGCCTTTGTGGAATTTGAAACAAAAGAACAAGCAGCAAAAGCTATTGAGGTAGGTCCAGATCCTAAAAAGAAAAAAGCAAAAAACTTGACTGTTAAAAGTATTAAAACATTTTATTGTAATCATTTCAGTTTCTTAATAACCCACCAGAAGAAGCACCAAGAAAACCTGGCGTATTTCCTAAAACAGTGAAAAATAAGCCCATTCCGGCCTTAAGAGTAGCTGGTAAGCATTTACTTAATATTTAATTAGATGTAGTTTAAGTTAAATGAAACTAACGATAGCATTGTTACAGAAGAAAAGAAAAAGAAAAAGAAGAAGAAAGGTCGAATGAAGAAGGAAGACAGTGTTCAGGCCAAAGAATTAAACACAGACACAAACAGCGAGAGCGTATGTAAAATGAAGAGATCAAGAACTACATCTGACGGCTCTGAAGGAGAAACTACTGAACCCCAAAAGCAACCCTCAAAGAAAAAGAAAAAACGGGAAAGAGTTGAAGTATCCATCTTACCTGAAGTCAGAACAGGGAAGAGGAAGAGAAGTAGCTCTGAAGATGCAGAATGCTTAGCTCCCAGATCAAAAGTAAAAAAAATGGCTCAGAAAGACAGCATTAAAAAAGAAACATCAGAAGTTTCTAAAGAAAACAGAGGTATAACATCTTTAAAGTTAGGATTAGATAAATTAAGGTTATATGCAGGGTCTCCAAAAAGTTGATGGAAAGATGCATTACTATTTTTTAATTCCATTTTTCCAGACTTTCTGAAATGCCTTCATATTTCACCCATTTCATAGCCACAAATGTCTTAACTGATTTTTTAATTTCTCAAGATTTAGAAGTCTCTACAGAAGAGGAAAAGGATACTGGAGATATAAAAGATGGTTCACTCTTAAAAGCCAAAAGGAAACATAAGAAAAAACATAAAGAGAGACATAAAATGGGAGAAGAGGTTATACCACTAAGAGTACTATCAAAGTAAGTACATTATATCAATTCTATTGTCGTTGACAGTTGACTTAACACACTCCATCACCATTGCTAAAGTGCAATTCCAATTTGTATTCAACAGAGTTGCATATTAGCAACAGTAATGGCCTGTAGCCAATGTCTGCACAGCGTGAGTATAATACAATTGAAGATTAAGTAGGAACCGCCACACTCAAACATGGAAGCACTTATTTTTACCACATCACAGCAAGTGCCTCCATGTTAAAGTAGAGGGGGCCCCTTAACAGATTTTAAACGTAGCTCAAACTTACTAAAAGCGGCCAATACAGCTAATTAACAATCTCTTGAAGGCTTGTAATGTAAAAGGAAGACTCACCATTACCAAAACATGGAAGCACTTACTTTTTTAGTTTCAAAGCAAGTACATCCACGTTTAAGTGGTGGGGAGCCCAGTCTTTGGGGAAAAAATGGGATCTTTTAACCTGTAACGAAAAGTTTAATAGTCAAAATCTGTAACAAAAGTTGTGTCGGTTTGGAGACACCTCCACTGAAACATGGAAGCACTTACTTTTGTTTCAGACAGCAGGTACCCCCATGTTAAAGCAAAGGGGATCCCTTCAATCTCCATAAGATAGCATGCTCCATTCTGGAAGAGTAAGTTGGATTCACTTCTACTAAAACATGGAAGCACTTACTTTTTTTAAAAAGCCACAGAAAGTACTTCCATGTTAAAGTTGAAGGGAGTCCACGTATATAATACTTTGGACCGCAGTGGTGACAGCTTAGTAGGAAAAGAAACAAAACAAAACGGCGTACCTTTTAGAGAAAAGATTTTCTTTACCCTCCTGGGCTACTTTCCTAAAGTTTCTGTTCTCCTCTTGAAGGGTAAAAGGCAAGGACTTAAGGCACTCCTATTTATACTATTCTCAACTCCTGAGTTCCTTTTGCCTTTTTATCTCAGAGAATCATTACAAGAGCCTTTTGTTATTTTAATGTATCAGCTCTCAGGGAATGTATGATCCTGGGTGGGTCTGGATACTTTTTTTTTTTTTGAAGTATACAGATGTCAATGTTAACAGCTAAAACCATTACCACCAGTTATCCTCCTTTTTAAAAAATCCTCTATCTGCTTGTTTGATGGCATAGATTAGGGTAACAATGAGTGCTCCCACAGAGCCAGGAGAGTCATTGTGCTTCTATCTGGAGGAGCTACGTGTTAAATGTATGTAAATAAATAAATTGCTTCCATGGGGTGTTTCTTTCTTCTTAGAAATTCCTTTAGATTCAAGTAAATACTAAGGATTGTTATCTTTCAAATTGGAAGCAGCTTAACAAATAATCTTTAAATTTTAATCTCTCATTTTTCCTTCATAGATGACTTATCTAGTAAATGTTACTAGTTAATTAAAAAATTAATAATAAAATTTTACTTTCATAAATTAAAATAGTTGAAACACTCAATTTAATTGGCAAAGTTAAAATATTTAATGTGAATGTTTGGGTAAGGGGAACTCCCTTTGCTTGTTTGCTAGATGGATTTAGAACCCAGGAAACAATTTGAGTGTATGTGTTTAAAGAAAGCAGAAAGTTGGGAGGAGTGGTTGCAAGTCACTGTGAATGTATATATTTAGAAATTTCCATATTTACTTTCTATTTAGTCATCTGTTGTCACTGTTCAATAGCTCATTTTTTTTTTCCTTACAGGAGCGAATGGATGGATTTGAAAAAAGAGTACTTAGCACTGCAAAAAGCCAGTATGGCTTCTTTAAAAAAAACAATATCCCAAATAAAGTCAGAGTCAGAAATGGAAACAGACAGTGGAATGAAAAATGAAAAAGGTAAAGATCACTGTGATAGTTTTTGTAGCATTATAATATATTTACATACTAAAATGCTATTTCTGAGTTATTGTAGGATAAACTTTAATTTCAAACAAATTACACAGGGTTCGTTATTAGAATAATTATTGAATTGTCAGGTTGTCGAGATGTGTGATTTTTTTCTTGATATAAGAATATTTGAAGGGCTCATTATATACAGTATCTTTTTTAATAACCTGAGTTTTCTCTACAGTTTTTATTATTAATGAGATTTAGTAATGAGTGTCTAATCTGTAAATTGAACAAGTTTATAGGAATAAAGATTATAATTTTACTTCACAGTATGAGACACAAGCAGGAACCAATTAAAGCAAGGATCTTATGAATTGTTCAAAATTAGGATATATTTTAAATTCCTATAGATTGTAAAAATAAATTTTTACATTTGAATAATAATGTATTATTCAAATCTCTTTACTTCCTTTATTTCATGCCTTTTTATTTCTTTATTAAGTAAAATTCTTGTTTCTTGGTTCAGGGAATAAAATCGTTCTTTTAAAGATTTTATAGATGCTCATTTCTAAGAGTAACAGTTTGCATTTAGAGTAATAAAATGTTCTACGTTTTATTTCATGGTAATTTGAAATATGCAGTATAACATACAACAAAACCTTATTTATTTAAATTAATTATTTTTAAATTAAATAAATTTAAAATTATTTAAATCAGCCTAAGAAATCATTGTTGTCATTCTAAAGTTGTCCTCCTAAGTGTTAAATTAAGTCTAAGAGACTTATTCTTGGTCTTTTCCTTTTCAAATCAGCAGCCAACAGTGAAGAGTGTCGCCCTGAGGAGAAAGTTAATTCGACAGGACCACAGTTTGTGAGTGGGGTGATAGTGAAGATCATTAGCACAGAACCTCTACCTGGCAGGAAACAAATCAGGGTAATGCTTTTGAGCCCCTAGGGTATTTGTCCCTTTCTCCCCTAATTAACTTCCTGGTGTGAAAATGTTTGAATATGGAAAATGCAACAAATCAAATTGGAATTTGTGCCTCTATGGTTAACTGCCTGTAGAGTTTTGATTCCATGGTAACTCTTAGGTTTAACTTGAAGCAAAATGTAAAGACCAAAATTCCACACTAAACCAAATTTACAGTGAGTATAATTTCAACATCCTTCTCTACAGGAAAATTGCAACTTGTGCTTATTTTTATTGGTACCCCTAATGGTTGGCTGCTGTGTAGCTGAATGAGGAAATATACTGTAGTTGTTCTAACTAAAGGAGTAGATGTAGTAAAGTGCTTTTCTAACGTTAATTTTTTACAGGACTATTTTTCTGTTTTCAGTGAAAATAGATTTTAGAAAAATACTTGGTGCCAAAACTGTTTTGAAGATTTAATCCACATTAGAGTTGTCTGAAATTATTTTAAAATTATAATCACACTATATGGTCTGCTTTGGGAGCAAACTAGAGAATTTGTAAATTTGTTTTCATTTGCACTCTTAGCTTTCAATAGATTCCTAAATGATTTTGTTGCCTTAAACAAAAAAGTTAGAACTGCTGTTATGGAATAAAAGGAAAAATATGCATATTTTTCACTTATCATGGATTTAGTTTATTTTTGTCTGTTAATGAATCCTTTTGGGAATTGAAAATTTTTCCTGAAAGAACTACAGTGGTTTTTGTAGGAAATAGACTTTTAACTTTTAAAAAAAATTTTGGTGAAGTATTTTCAATCCATGCTTTTTGTTTTAAAATTTTCAAACAATTACAGAAAAGAGTAAAATATTTTTGAAAAGCTATATGCATGCATGCGCAAAGAAATCCCATAGTTATATATAATTCACACTACAAATTACTATTTATGCTGGTTTTTAATCTTCTTATTTCACTTTATACAGTTTATCTTCTACAGCCTTTTATACCAACACTGACAGCAATGCTTCTTCCTTATTAATGAAATCATATTCCTTTGTGTAAGAATACCATATCTTTACCCTAATCTGGCACTCAATTTGTTAAGGCACTTTCTTTTTAAACTACATATCGAATATTTTAAAAATTCTGTTATACTGACATCCAGCACTACATATTATGTTGTTTGTAGTGTTGGGGTGCAGAAAGATGTTACCCAAAAATATGGTGCTTTGACATGTTGTTTTGGTTTTGCATAGACTCATACCAGTCACATTTTTTTTAATTTGAATAACCATTGAGATTGTTGCTCACTATAATCATCTTTTAGCATTCTTTATCTGAAACCCTGTCCTAAAATACTGTGGCTGCACTAAGACATAAATTTTAATTCTCTTCCCAGTATCGGTGAGGGATTTGGCCAATCCCAAATTGCTATTACCAGCTTGCATTTCAAGATATAGTAGTAATATAGAATTTAGGATAAGAAGACTAAAAAATTGAGGATCTTAAATGCTGCTGTGGTTACTCAGATTGCAAAAGATTTAATACAAAAATTATTCAGTTATTTGGAATTGCTGACATAGGTTTAATTGTATTTATCAATGAGCTTTTATTATCTAAATGGTAATTCTGTCTATTATAAATTCTTCATTTATAATCAACAAAATCATAAATAACTGCATTAATTAAGTTAGTAATTACTTACATTTTGCTGGAACAAAACTGAGCTATCATGGTAGTTACTGCTGTCTGTGACTTGCCCATGTGATTACCAGGCTAATTTGTCATTCTAAAGTTTTTAAATTCTAAGGGTTTTAAATTGGGAGATTAGCCTGACATTATAATGTACATTTAGTAAATCTCTTTTGAACTGTAGTAATCTAATCTGTCTGAAAAATCAGTTTTAAAACTCATTACTACCAGTGAATACATTCAAATTTCTTCAATTTAATACCGATTATTTCTCTTGCTTTTTCTCTAAATTTAGTACTAATTAACTAAATAAAGAAAAGGAAAGGATTGGCAAATATATTTCTTTTCAGTTCTGTCATTTTTTTTTAATCGATTCTGCAAACACGTATTAAGTGATATTTTGTGATAAATAGTATGCTAAGTGTGGATTGGGATGACTTAAAACCTACTGCCTGGTTTCTAGAGACTCACAGATATTTGTTACATATTCTTTATTATTAACTAGTAAACTTTTCTATGATGAAATAATATTTCCAGGTATTGCTTAAGTCTTAAAAAATTCAAACATCTAAAAATTCAACATCTAAAAATACTCTAAATTACTTGAAAAGTTGGGTCAAAACTGAAGAGAGGGGAGATAAATAAGACTTTTTTTTTTCCAGTTGGGAATCTCCAGTTATTTCTTTAGTTTTATGAATGGAAGTTGATGAATTAAGAATTAGTGTAACATTCCTGCATAAATGCATCGTATACTATGTAGAACCTGCTGTGAAGAAAAATGACTAAGAATGCAGGAATCTTGTTAATTTGCCCTCACAGCAGGCATTATAGGTAAAACTTCCTTGCTGGGTGACCACACTTGTTTAGAAGAGGTTACTTAGGTATTTTATCAGAAAGTAAGAGCTCTTGAGCTATGCTCTAGTTGATCCATTCAGGAACCTAGAGTTTTTGTAGATTTAATGAAACTCTTTTTCTCATGAGTTGCTATAAAATTTTTACACGTATTTTAAGTCATAAGTGATTTTGTACAGGTGAGGGAAAGCAAACCTTCTCCCCCAATCCTTTTTTTTTAATTTTATTTTTTATACTAACTACTCCCATTAGACTTGAACCCCCCTGATTTGGGAAAGGGGAACACTGTTTGTATATTCTGCTTTACAAATATGTTTCCCTTATAGATTTTATTAGGGAATATGATCCCATTATAGACAGAATATGATCCCATTTTAGTTCAGATTTTAAGGATGAGGATTAAAGAAAATAAAGGAAAGCAAATTATGAGTAGAGTTGATGTTAAATTGGTTCTCTTCTTTGTCCAAATCTATTTTCGTGAACATTTGTGTATGTCTTAGAAGAAATGTTTGATATAGAATATTTACTTCTCATTAATCTACGTAATGTTTATTTATAGAATATATTCTGACACAACCATTGGAATAATTTCAGAGTTACAAAACATTTTTATTATTGATTTTAAGTCTTTCTACTTAACTCTAATGCAGGATACTTTGGCAGCGATCTCAGAAGTTCTTTATGTTGATTTACTAGAAGGAGATACAGAATGCCATGCTAGATTTAAAACTCCTGAGTATGCTCAAGCAGTAATAAATGCATATACAGAAATTAAAAAGAAACATTGCTGGAAACTCGAGGTCCTTTCTGGTAAAACTTCATAGAAATTTCTTTTTTAAACAATTCTTACTGTGGTAATTGTATTATATTTTCTTGAATTTGGCTAATCTAACTAGTATTTTTCATACTTTAATGTGCATAAAGTAGCATAAAATATTATCAAACAACTATTCCTGTTCTATTATTGAGAATATAATACCTTGAATATGTTTTTTCACATGTATCCATGTTCATCCATCAGAGTTTTTGTTTGTTTTTAAGGTGATCATGAACAGAGGTACTGGCAGAAGATTTTGGTTGATAGACAGGCCAAACTTAATCAGCCTCGGGAAAAGAAAAGAGGCACTGAGAAGGTAATTGATTAGTATTTGTTTTCATAGAATAAACTTTTTTTAGAAGTTGAATGTCTTCTGAAAGTCACTAATAGGTAGTCATAAAATAACCTTGTTTTTGCTGTTACATACATATTTAAAGAGTATAAACTGTGTTTTAGATTAGGAGGGAATACACATTTCTATAGATTTCAAAATAAGTGAAACTAGAATTATTTTTCCCACAAGGATACATAATTTAATTTAGAGTTTTCCTTTTATTCTTTCCTTTTTTTAACCAGAGATGTACTTTAAATTTAAACAGTCTTGATTTCTGGCTGCTGTGTTTTTTAGTTTTGTGGTAAATGATTATAGAAAGGTTGTCTTAATGGTAAAACACAGTGTATTTAGAGTGTAGTTTATAAAGGTATGAGACTCCACAGATAAGATTAGGAGACGTTATGCATAGTCTTCCTTATAGCAATGATAAGCTTTATTCCTTTTTCTCTAGGATAGTCAACAAGTGACACAAACAAGCTTAAATAAAATAATTTAAAGCAAGCCCCTCTTTCAGTAATTTTATTTGTGAATCTATTAAAATGACACTAGAAATTTATAAAATAATTGTTGCTAGTGAGCTATTGAGTTTATTCTTTTGAAACAAATTATATATGTAAAGGTTAATACATTTTAAAATCCTTAGGAAAAATAGTGTACATAATAAATAATGTTAACTATTATCATAAAAATTTAGAAATATATATTATAAAAGTCTGAGAAGATCCTAAAAAGATGTACATCCTTTTATGTTTGGTGAACACATTAGAAGTCATACTTCCTGTATTCTAGGCTTGTTGATTTGGGGTCATATTTATAAAGTTCATTTTTTTAAAAAAAAAAAAAAGAAAGAAAGAAAACTTAAAAATCAAGTGTTTTTCATCAGCCTCCCATTGCCTGGAATTCATTGGAATTTATGATGATTTGGGGGGAGGTTTCCTGCTAGTCTTTGTTAATTTTGTTTCCTTGAATGGAAACAACTTGCTGAGATGAGGAGGCCTCCTTCCTTCCAAAGGACTCTTTCAGATCTATGAGGTGTTAATTTCAAAGCCTGTTTGAGATTATTTAAATGTTAAAATCATTAATACAGAATATGTAACTGAAATGAAGTCACTTTGTTAAATAATACTTATCATTCTAATTGGTGTGAAATTTCACTGTAGTTGTATATATTTTTTAAACTAGGAATTTATTTTTAATTTTAGAAATTTAGAAAGCTGCCATCTTTGAAAATTAAATTTGAGGCAGGAAATAAACATTGGCTAGGGAATTTTATAAATTGAATTGGAACACATTGAGTAGTTCTGTTACTGAGTTGAAGAGTTCTTTTCCTGATTTCATTTACCTGCTGTACCATCAGGGTTGACATTAGCATGATTTTTTAAGTAGAAACTGCTGAAGCTGTGAAGTAGCTAGTTGGTTCATATCATGAAATAAAAAGGTACCACCCAAAATAAGTACTATTACAAAGCTTATCAGAGGAGAGGAGTAGACCATAATTCTTTTAACCTATTTGTTTGCAAATTAATTTAATATTTTTTTAGTACCCCTTTGTGTTAGCCACTATTCTTGAAACTGGGGGTACAGCCATGAATAACAAAATCCCCTGCCTTCATGAATAATATGTTAGGTGATGACCAGTGCTGTGCAGAATAATAAACCAAATTAAAGACTGTTGCAAGATAGTTTACATCAGATGAGACTGTCTGGGAATGTTCTCTCTGTGAAGGTGACATTACAACGGAAACGTTAAGGAAGTGAGCAAGCAAGAAAGGAGAGTTTAGAAGCGCAGCTTTCTGGGCAGAAGCAACAGAAACTACAGAGGCCTTGCGTGAAGATTGTCAGGGACTAGAAGTCCAGGGTAGCTGGAGTACTGGGAGCACCTTAGTAATGGAAATTAAGTGCTTAGAAAAAATTAGCAGAATGTCAGTGTTTCTGCCAAATTATGACATAAATACCTTACTAACATGACAGCCCAACATTTTCAGAGTAGTATTGTGTAGTATTTGTCCATCGAGTGAAAGAAAAGCATTAATAAAGCATTCTGGTTCTTATTGTTCACATTATGGAGTAGAACAATACTGGGAACAGTCTCCGAAGCTCCATTCAGTTTAAACAGAATTAAAAGGGGAAAAAAATGTATAGGTAAAGAAAATTTTTTTTATTTTCTACATATTTTTACTTATAAAAATCAGGCACAGGTAAATTAAATGGATGACCTTTGGCAAAAGATCTGGAAGATGAAGGAAAGATCTGCCAAAAGAGGTGTCACTTATTCATTCTTGCTAGCCCGGATCTTTTTAGTGTGCCATATCACTCTCAGCATATTGGTAAAAATAGATAACAGCTATCAGAAACAGAATGAGGTTTTTCTTATTTCTCTTAAGCTTTTAAAACATTTGAATTTTTTTGTTGTTGTTTTTATCAAAGTGGTTTTCTGTACAAATTACAGATGTCTGATATTCAGCAGGTTAAGGCAGAATACATAAAATTTGAACAGCGGCATGGGTGTGATGGAATTTTAAACATTTTTTACTCACCTCACTTGTCAATAGGATTTTAGTTTAATCTAAAAGTGATTTCCTGCCAATGGAAACTTGGCATCAAACACTTTAAAACTATTTAAATGAATACTCGTTAGAATCTATATTTTTAATAGAAAAAGATTTGCATTTACTCCAAAGCTAAATATTTAAAATTTTTCCATTATGGAAGCCTTTTGTAGTATTTTAGACATTTTAAATGGTTTCTTCTGCATTCTACATAATTCCATTCGCCTTCTATAAAAATACCCAAGAACTTATGTAAGGGTGTAATAATAAATAGTCTTAATAGCAGGTCCTTATTTGAAATATTTTATAATTTTCAAATTTATAAGCAATTTGTAAGCAAACCTTTGTGTAGCACTCGGCCCCAAAATATACTGTCTCATTCAAATAATACATAAATTCTCAAACACAATATAATTTTGCAGGACAACATTATCATTTAAAAAGTGTGTTGGTAATTAATATTCAATCCCAAGGGGACGTGAAACAACGGTCCTAAATTTTCCTAAAAAGTTAAAAAATTACCAGGTGTAGAGTGACTTTTTTGTTCCTTTGGAGTGACTGTTTTTAATTAAGAACTTTTAAATAATGTGGAACTAAATTGGGGATGAGAGGGAGTTAGATAATTTAAAGGTTTAATATCTTTTATACTTAATAAGCCTTAATCTCAACAATTCTCTCTGTAATTGATTTGGCCTAAGCATAATTAACGCATTTGACTTGCTCTTCCCCTTTTTAAAAAAATTTTATTCATGCTGATAGTTGTGAAATTTTTCTAGTCATAATTTTTTTTGTTTCCAGTACATTCAAATTTCTTACTTCTTTCTTTATAGTTAATCACAAAAGCTGAAAAGATTAGACTGGCAAAGACTCAACAAGCAAGTAAACACATTAGATTTTCTGAATATGATTGAAAAAAATTACAGTTCACTTCTTATTTCACTAGATACTTGAGCTATCTTAGGAAATCCATTTTTATTATGGTAGTACTGCATAATGAATGTTTTTCTAAAGCCTATGTTTAATTAGAAGAAATACTTTTGTTCCTCAACTTGTAAATAAGACATTTTTTAGAGATAAGTACAATGTATATCACAATTTTTCGTTAAACATTTTATTTGTTAAAATTACCTTATATATTAACTTCGAGTGATTTAGCAAATAAATGTGTTTTGAACATTATTTTGAAATTTGTTAATTTTGTTTTTATATTACAAAAACAATACATAATTGCAAAAATGCAAACACGAATATAAAGTTTAGAAAAATGTTTAACAGTGTACTCTCACCATATTTATTATTTTGGAACTTATTATTTTTCCATTTCAAATATTGTGGATAACTTTTCATGTTTCATCTTCATAAGCAGACATGTATGTGTAATATTTCATTCTATTTATTGCACTTTGCCTATCTGAGCTTCCATTTATAGACCATATGAACTGTTGCATTTTGAAAGTACTGAGTTTGATTTTTATAAATCAAAGGTATTCTAAATTATTATTTATAAATTATTATTTACATGATTTATATGATTTATAAATTATTATTTATAAATCAAGGTATTATGAACACAAGGGTAGAAAAATCTAGGAACCAACCTCAGGCAGAACTGAGGTCTGTCATTTTATTCAGGAAAATCACAGGACTAGAGCACGTAAGGCCTTTCCAGACCTTAATTTACTGGGTCTGTACCAGACTGGCATCTTAATCTCTTCTCAAAATCTCAAGAAAGGGCCGGCCCGGTGGCGCACTGCGCTAGTGCGCCGCTTGGGAGGCGCGGTTGCGCTCCCGCCGAGGGTTCGGATCCCACATACAGACCGGTTCCCACTCACTGGCTGAGCAAGGCGCGGGAGCAACACCAAGGGTTGTGATCCCGTTGCCGGTCCCGGTCCGGTACGGGGGAGACACTGAGGGTTGCAATCCGTTGCCGGACATGGAAAAAGACAAAAAAAAAAAAAAAAAAAAAAAATCTCAAGAAAGTGCTCTGGACAGCCATGGGATACATTTCCTTGGACTACAAACCCATTTCTGGTTCCATCAGCTTTGGGGGCCTAATTTAGCTTCCCCTTCCGTGGATGGTGGGAGGCCTGCAATCAGGAATCAGTTGTTCACTACTAGGAGCCAGAGAGTTACAGAGATGGACTACCTCACTGGTTGGGGTGACAACAGCTGATTACCACTCAAAATAAGTACTCTGGCAAGTTGCCACTCACTCACTCACTTCCTCCATGAAGGAAAGCTAACATATACACTCCCACAGAAATCTATAAATAGTTGCTAATAGTCTTATTATGAGGATTACAACTAAAGATGTTCCAGTAGATCCAGAATAATCAGAAGTAAATAAATTTTTCAAGAATTCAGTTCATCTCAGTGAGGAATATCTTGAAGGGACATTGGAGATGTTACCAAGTAAAATTTCAGAAGTTCTCCCCTTAGTTTTTAAAATAAGTGTTCAGTCAACAAATTTTTCTTGAATATCTATGTTTGGACATTGTTGTAGCACTTGGGAGACATCACTGAACAAAACAAAGATCACTTTCTCGGGAGTTTATATTCCAGCAGTAGATACAGACAACGAAAATAAGTAAATTACACAGTTGGTTAGAAAATGACAAGACCTGAGGAAGAACAAAAAAGGCAAAGGAGGAGAATCCTATTCACTTCTTTATTCTTTAATTAATTTAATTCAAGGAATGTTTATTAGCCCCGGCTGTATATCAGACACTGACATTTTAGACATTAGAGATACAAAGGAAAAGAAAAGTCCTTGCCCTTGAATAAATAATGTAGTCTCTTGGTGTATTAGTCCATTTCTGTTGCTTATAACAAAATATACAGAACTGGGTATTTTATATAGAAAACAAAATGTATTGCTTACAGTTTTGGAGGCTGGGAAGTCCAAAGTCCAAGGAACACATCTGGTGGTGGCGACAGTGACCCTTCGCATTGCAAGATGGTGGAAGCAGAGAGAGCAGCATACTAACCTCATTCACCCTCTTTTTAAAGCCCTCAGAACCACGCCCAAGATCACCATTTTTAATTCATTTATTATGGCATGGTCCTAGAATCTAATCACTTATTCAAGGCCCCGTCTTTCAATTACCATAATAGGATTTCCCACCCTCAACAGTTACAATGGGGATTTAGTTTTGGGGGGACATTCAACTTAAGGCACTTGGGGAAGATAAATAAACATATAATTGTGATAAATGTAAGTGATGTGACAAAAGTCACTCCAGATGATATGAGATGGATTCTAAAAGCAGTCAGATTTCTGCATGACCTTTCAGAGTCCCTCTGAACCTATTATCTTTTGGGTAAGTATATCCTTCTTTATATAACACTTAGCACACAATAATTGCTTAATAAATATTTGGTTTAATTGAATTAAGTTGAAAGTGTGCTTTGGGTTGGTCCCCAAGTGCAGATGTTGTTATTGCATAAAGGATATTTTGTTTTTCTCAAGTTGCTCATTGAAGTGTCCACTATGTACCTATCTTTGTGCATGTCAGTGGGATTTGCTTCTTTAACTGCAAAACCGATTTTGTTCAAGCACCCCTGAGTAGCTCAATATCACTTTCACAAAGAAAACCTTATTGATCATTGTCTGTTAATTGTTATGTGTTAGTTGTATTTTCTCAATGAAGTATGTTCCATTATTATCACCACTTTTAAAATGAAGAAACTGAGGTGCTTGCCAAAGGCCCTAATAGCTAGCTAGTGTGGGATTTAAACCCAGGTTCTCTTACTTGACAGGCCACATGTTTAATGACTATGGTAGCTCCCTTGCAACCCTCTCTCCCTCCAGTCCTTTCTTCCTTCTTCTTTCCAACTTTGCATCTCATAGCAGACATATACTGTAATTTATTTAATCATGCTTCCATTGGACTTGTAGTTGTCTCTTCTTTTTTACTACTTTTTTAAAAAAGTAACACTATAGTGAACATCTTGTCCTCCATCTTGCTGATTTATGTTAGTGTGTCTGCAGGATAGATTTCTGGAACAGGAATTGTGTCCAGAATAGTCCAAAAATGCTGTACAAATTTTCATTGCCAGCAACAATGTTCAAGGGTAATTTTGAGGGTTTGGGGGGGTTTTGGGGTTGTTTTTTTTTTTTAACTGAACTCTTACTAATTCAGGACATTATCAGTCTTTTTCATTTTTGCTAATCTGTGAAATAAAAATGCATCTCATTGCTGTTTTAATGTGCATTTCCCTGATTACCCATGTGATTGAGTACGTTTCACATGCTTAATAAATATTTGTATATTCTCTGTGAGTTGCTTTTCTTAGTTTTTTAAAGGATGGATAATTTTTTAAATGATTAATATGCAGGAGAACTTTATATATTACTAACATAACCCTGTAAATATTTTCTCCCATTCAACCACTTGTCTTTCAACTTGGTTTATAGTACAATTATTATATAGATATTTTATATTTTTACAGAACCATGTCTATTAATTTGCTTTTAACAGAAAATGATTTCCCTGTCTGTGAGTCGTCATTACTTCATTTCTTATTCCCTGATGTCCAGATGAGGGAGGGTATAACAGGGCTCATTCTTGAATTAGCATTAGCGAGTCTTTGTTCTTTGCAACCAAATACAACCTTAATTAAAGCAATATCATCTTAAAAAAAATAGATTACACATTTTACTTTTTCTATGCCTTGGAAAGTTTACAATATGAACAAAATAGAAGAGCAATTAGAATGCAAAACTAGGAAGGAGTCAACACTATCATTTATACTTATTCCTGGCTTATCTGTTGAGTTTCTTAATGACAGGCACAGACAAAGCTGCATGCACCATACAGCTACACAAGTGATGCACTGCCAGCAAGCATTCACCTCGACTACAATGTGAATGATGTTCTTGGAGTTGTGCACTGCAGTCTGTACATCACAGGTGGCAGCCCCATGCACAAGGATTCTTTGTACTTTGCAATTGTGACCATCCTTTCACTGATAAACAAAACAAAAAACGAACATTCTTAGAAAGTATAAGTAGTTCAGATCTGAGGTGATCCAAACCTGGAAGCATGATTTCTTATATAGAACAGTTCATCATCTAAGTAATTGTACCTCACTTCAGGGATGAGAATTAGAACAGGGATCTCTAAGTATAGGCTTCCTGAGATTTTGCAGCTATTTAGAACAATGGTAGCATTTCATGAATAATCATAGCAATACTTACAGCTATGTTTATAACTACTTGCATATTCCAAGTATCCACTAAAAGGTTTTAGATTTGCTGTATCTTGACTGAACAGGGCTTGGTCTTGAGAAAAGTATTGTATTTCTGTTTTCAATTTTTATTTTTAATTCTAAAAATCAATGAAGATAGGATAAACAACTTAGTAGAAAAATGAGCAAGGATTAAGAAGTACTAATGGCCAATAAACATAATACATGCATAAACTCATTAGTAATAAAGGAAATGCAAATAAAAATAAAATGAGGCACCTTCCTTTGGTTGATTACATTGATAAAAATAAAAATAAAAATAAATTGACATTACCCAGTATGGTCAAGGATAGGGGCAAAGGGGTAACATAATATACTGCTTTGTAAATTGGTACAACTTTATTGAAAGAAAATTTAGCAAATATCTATCAAAATTAAAGAATATATACTATAAACTCAGTCTTCAGAAAATGAACTACAAACAACTCTTAGACACGTAAAAATAGTCTCAAACCTCATTCATAACAGGAGAAACACAAGTCAAACTGCACCAAGATACTATTTTTCACTTATTAAATTGGCAAAGATCCCAAAGTTTTATAACATACAGTGTTGTTGAATACATCAGAAAAGCAAGTAGGCTCTGTCTTTTGTTTATGACTTGATAAAAATCTGTTTAAAATATAATCCTTAATACACTTCAGTTGTCTTGAAATGAATAAACTCCAATCTGGCAGCATGACTTCAGCATATAAATATATATATTTATATTAAGAAAGAAATTATACAGTCCTCATGGTGAGAGATGATAAAATGTGTATAAAGGAACAAAGCCAGTTCCTTTCATGTCCATAGGAGCAAGCCAAGTATTTAATAGCTTGCAAATTTATAAACCAATATTATGGTTAGAGATTTTTATATGAATTTCATTCTTAGAATTATCTGTAGGGATTGCATTAAAAAGCAAAGAGGGATACCTCTTTAGAATA